CTTATGGATTCTGAGCAGGACACACAAACAATCAGAGTTGTGCTTCAGGAAAATTAATCTGGCAAAGGCATGTGTAGGAGAGTTTAGAGCAGTAGGAATGGAGACATGGCAACCAGTTAGGAGTCCACAGCAATAACCTTGTCCAGAGTTAGAGCCTAAACAGTGGCTGCAGAAATGGAAAGGAGGGGGGCAGATGCCTGAGATACTGCAGACGGAATTCAATCAAAAGGACTGAGCGACTAAGTGAATGTGGGTGGAAGGGAGATGTCAGAAACAACTCCAAGGTCTCCAGCCTGAGTGACTGTGAGGAGAATGGTGTATTGTACCCCTGAGGGAAAATAGGATAATCAGGACAAAGAAGCTGTTAGAGAGAGAAGCAGTTGGGGGACAAGAGATAATGAATTCAGTTTTGGACAAGTTTGAGTTTTACATGCTTTAACTGCAGCTGTCCAGTAGGTAGTTTGAAATAGGGATTAGAAGCTCAAGGAGAGAGTTTGGAGCTAGAATTATGTAAAATGCAAGGTAATGGCATATATAACACCTACAAGAAAGAGAAAGTAAAAAGAAAAAAAGGGACAGTATCTGAGCTTCGAGGAACACCCGCCTCTATTTAACCACCTACAGGTGGAGGAAAAGAAAAAATACAGGAAAGGCCGTGAATTTAGATGGTAGGAAGAGAAGCAAATAATTTCAGGATCTAGTTTAACCCTAACCCACTGAGGTCCTTTCTGAAGCTGAACTGCCAAGCATTCAAACCCAACTGAAGAGAGCGCAATTCCAATTGGCTGGCCACCCTGCTTGAATGCAAACATAAGTTTGCCTAAAATACTAATTTCTGGACAACTCACACAAGGCAAGTACCTATATGGAAGAAAAAATACAAGGACATTCTCGAGGTCTCTCCGAAGAATTTTAGTATCGATTGTGAGACATGGGAGACACTGGCATGGATGGAGTGCCAGCATCAAAGAAGGCACTGTGCTCTATGAGCAAAGCAGAATTGCAGTAGCTCAAAAGAAACATGAGACGCGCAAATTTAGAGACATCTCCCTCCCAGGTGTTCATACAGACTATTCGCAGCCAACCTGTGACAGAGCTTTCCAAGCTCCTATCAGTCTGATCAGCCACAGTCAAACACACTGTACGTGGACTCCAACACAGTAATATCATTTTGGTCTTTTAACGTTATGAAGGGCAGCAGCCAACCAACCGATTTCAGAATCCCAAAAGTCAAAGCAGTAACACAGCAAATCGTTTTGAAATACCACATGCAACCATGATACCTGAAATTGGAACTCGCTGCTTAACTAGCGTTCTCAAGTTCTTACTGCTTCCAGCTCTAGCCAAGTCAATCAAACCTAATAGACAAACATCCTCAATATAAACACATCGTCACCAAAGCCCACCAGAATACCCCCAAGCCCATTATGACATCCCCCAAGATCAAAAGCCAAAGTACAACCAAGCTCATCCTCCCCACCTCAGTTTTTCTACCCCAATCTCACCACCTCCACCAAGTCTCCAGCTTTCTTCAATGAGCTTTGTTCTTATAAAAATGAGTGTCCCTATAGTTCTGTAGCCAAATCCTATTTGCACAGGAAAAAAAAAAAACCTACCTTAGATAGAGTATGTCTCTGTCCAAAACAGTTAATGCCTTCTGTCTGTCCAATCACTCACGTACCTCACAAATCCCACTTCTATCAGAAATCTTCCTCCTGCTTTAAGGATACTATGAATATGAATCTGTGAGGCATACAGACTGTACTCTATCTGTACCCAAATAGGTAGAAAGCATGTTGTTGCCCATTTGTTTCCGTCTCTCTATGACTTCACTTTGGGTTTTCTTGGCAAAAATACTGAAATGGTTTACCATTTCTTTTTCCACCTCATTTAACAGATGAGAAAACTAAGGCAAACAGGGTTAGGTGACTTACTCAAGGTCATACAGCTAGTGTCTGAGGTCACATTTGAACTCAGATTTTCCTTGACTCCAGGCACAACACTCTATCCACTGTAGCACTCAGCAGCATACTTTGGTGGAAAGAGCATTTGATTTGGAGTCAGAAGACCTGAATTCAAATCCTCAGATGCATATTGCCTACTGTGACCTTAGGTTGAAAACTCCAAGGCCTGGACCTGTTTCCTCATCTAAAAAAAAAGAAGAAAGCTCTCTATGATCCTATCAACCCACTTTTAAATAGGAAGACTAATATGAATTAATACAAAGTGAAAGAAGTAAAACCAGGAAAACAACATACAAGACAACAACCATGTAAAATGGAAACAACCACCACAAACAACCTAAACGTTGGGGCAGCTAGGTGTTGAATTGGATAGAGCACTGACCCTGGAGTCAGGAGGACCTGAGTTCAAATCTGATCTCAGACACATAATACTTCCTAGCTGTGTGACTCTGGGCAAGTCACTTAACCCCAACTGCCTCACAAAAAAAGAAAAAAAAACCCTAAATGTTATGTAATAAACAAGCTTGATCCTAAAAGCCTAGATACACCTCTCCCTTCCTTCTTTGCAGGTGAGGAACTGCGGTGTTGGAATACTGCATATGCTGTCAGACATCATTAATGCTTTGGTTGGTTTTGCCAAAGTGCTTCTCTCCCTCTTTTTCTTTTTTCTTTTAATTAATTCTGACCAGGGCAACAGTTCCATGGGTAGGGGAAAGAGATATTCCATAAGGACGACAATGTAAAAACAATAGATCGCAAGAAAAAAAATAATTCATTTTGGAAGAAAAGTTACTAAATAGACTCAAGGAAATCGTATGATTAATCAAAAACAAGCCCTGTCAGCTTCAATTTGCATTTTATGCAGGGAATTTACAGTATATTTCTTATAAAGCAGGAAGCATAAGGAAAAGAACACAGGCCCAGAACTCTGGAAACCTGAATTCTAATCTCAGTTCTAGAACTTAACTAACTTTGAGCCACAGGGCAAGGCACATCTCTCCCAGGCTCATTTCCTTATCTGTAAAATTAGATTAGACTTTTGGTGAGTTAGAACAACAAACTGGGTTCGAAATGAACCTCTGCAAACTGAGCTTCTGCAAAGTTTCTGACCATTTTCTATGTTAAAAGGAATGTGAACATATGATCAAGAATCACGAAGTCCTAAAAATAAGGACAGTACCTCTGCATTTAAATCATGAGAGGCTCAGGGTAGGTCAACACCAAACCCTTGATTACTGACTGAATGACCAGACACTGACTTCATCAAAGCCTTGATTATTGACTGAATGACTACCATCTAGTCAATTTTTTTTTTAATAAAAGGGCTTCTTCTGTAAAATTTGGATTCAGTCAAAAAGCCTCACTTAAGGGCCTACAAGGCCACATGTGGCTTTAATGCTGTAGATTCCCCACCCATGGATCACAAAAGGACTCCTTCAAACCTCTGATTATTGACTGAATGACCAGACACTGATTTCACCAAAGTTTTGATTACTGACTGACCTCACCAAATTTTCGACTATTGACTGAATGACCAGACACTGATTTCACCAAACCCTTGATTATTGACTGACCAGACACTGATTTCACCAAAGCCTTGATTACTGACTGAATGACCGGACAGTGATTTCACCAAACCTCTGACTATTGACTGAATGGCCAGACACTGATTTCACCAAACCTCTGATTATTGACTGACTGACCAGACACTGATTTCACCAAAGCCTTGATTACTGAATGAGTGACCAGATGCTGATTTCTTCAAACACTTGACACATACCATCTTAAGAATAACAGGTGCTTTTCTTCTGGGGAGGAGGAAACGGGGAGAGTAGGGGAATTTTTTTCTTTGCCATGTTTTATCAGATGAAAGGTCAACTTTGTCATAAAGAAAGGCGTGAGCCGATCCCAAAGACAAAAAGAGAAGGTCGTGGGACTCAGGGAGTTTTCACACATAGGAGACACTACAAGCTCTGGTTCAGGCAAAACCTCCTTCCGAGATCTTCCTCCCTCTTGTAGAGTTGGACTCTACTTATCTCATCCTAGCCAACGATGGAAGAAGCCACGGGTGATGGAGGAGATGACGAGTGTCCCCGTCAAATAGGGTTTTCCCCCAAAGGAAACAGAAAGTGAAAAATGATTACGGAACATCTGTCCTCTGAGTCCCTCCCGCAGCTCAACCAAGCTGAAGTTGAGAGAGGAAGAGGAGGGAGAGATGGGGCATGGTCGGAGGGTCTTCGCGGGAAGTGAACGACCCCGGCCCGGCCCAGGTGCAGGAGGAGGAGCAGACACCCGGGCAACCCCGTGGGAAACAAAAGGCACGCGCGGCGCACAGTCCCGGCAGGGTACGATCACCCTCGGGGTAGGAGGGTGCTCCCGTGCCCCTCCCCCCGAACAAGGTCGGCCCCCTAGCTTTCCCCGAGGTCCTCCCTGCCCCAGCAGAGCGTCGGGGCTGTGTGGGCTCCTCCCGCAAGCGATCGCGCTGGGCGAACCCTTCACTTCCCCCCGGCCCCCCAAAGTTAACCCGCGCTCCGCGGATGCTGCTGCCGGCGCCACTGCTGCGGCTTTTGCGCCCCGTCCAAAGTGCAAGCAAAGTGGGGATAGCCCGCACCACGTCCCGCGTCCTCCGAAAGAGAAAGAAAAAGGGGATGGAATGAAATTAATTACCCCCGCCGCCCCCCCCAGCCCTCCAGGCACGCCGAGCCACACGCCACGCACGCACCTCGCGGGGCACTCGCCTTCCACCTCCTCCTCTTCCTCCCTGACCTCCCCGGGTTCCCCCCACCCCCCAGCGCCCCGGCTCTCGCACACGCGCCCTCGGGACCATCCCACATGGCTCCCGAGCGAGCGTCCTCCTTACCCCCCGCAGCGTCGGGCTCAGTGACAAGCCGGGCGGGGCCGCGACCCGAGGAGCAGCCGGGACTGCGCGAACCAATGCAGCCAAACCAGAGGCCAGGGGTGGGGAAGGGGCGGAGGGGGAGGAGAGGGTGGGGAGCCGCCCCCTCGCCCGCTCCTGGCGCGCATGCTCCCGCCTCCCTCTGCGGGAGGCCGAGGGAGAGCTTGCACCTGACTTCCCTTCTCCCTTTCCCTTCTCCCTCGGGCAGCCCGCGGCTTTTCTGCGGCTCTTGGGCTCTGCACCGGGCAGGTGGGATGGAGGGGGGCCCTTTCCCCTAGCCCGGGTGCCCTGCGCTCTCTCCCCGCTCGCCCTCCAACTCCGCTCGGATGCGCGCACCCCCGGAGTGCGGTCCCGCGGGCCCTGGCCACTTTCTCCTCCGCTGACTTCCAGTCCCGCCTTAGAGCCCTGGGGGTCTGCGCCGCTGCCCCCCACCCCCACCCCTGCCCTTCATCTCCCATTGCACGAGAGAGTGGATGAAGGAGAGAGGACAAAGCACGGGTGACTTTCCAGAGTATTAGCGGTTGGAGGGACCGAGAGGAGTGGGTGCCTGGGTTGAAGCAGGTGAAAGTGTCAAGGACGAGCTTTTCCTTTATTTTAAATAGAGACTTGTAGGAAGAGGGGAAGGGGCCAGTAGGAAGGAATAGGTAGAAAGGGAAGATGATAGGTAAGCCGAGGCTTAAAAGATATGGGAGGGAATAGGATAATTAATAATAATAAATTACATTTGTGTAACGCTTACAATGTACCCGACGCTGTGCTGTGCGCTTTCAAATTATTATCTCGTTTGATCCTCACAACAACCTTGGGAGGTATTCTCCCCATTTTATAGTTGAGGAAATTGAGGCAGACAGAGGTTAAGTTGATAATTATTATCTCATTTGATCCTCAGTTGTGGGAGGCAGATGCAGTTATTCCCATTTTACGGATGAGGAAACTGAAACAGAGGAGAAGCGACTTGTTCGGGGTCGTACAGATAGGAAGTATGATATGGGAAAGGTGCAAGTCTCAGAAGAAATAGGAGGGAATAAGATAATGCTAGCTAATATTTATAAGTGCTTTACAACTATTATCTCCTCTGATTCTCACAGTAACCCTGGGAGGCATGTGCCTCCCATTATTCCCATTTTACAGATGAGGAAGCTGAGGCAGCTAGGAAGTGACTGAAGCTAGATTTGAATTCACATCTTCCTGACTCCAGGACCAGGGCTCTACTATTAGCCACTGCTGGAAAGGGTCAAGGAAGTAGGTCCCATGGTGGTCAGTCCAGTGCTCCATTATACTCCACTGACTTCATATTTACATAAAATAGTAAATTTCAAAAATGAGCTCTTTCCGGTCTTCTTGCTCTATCCCATGGATGTTTTTTTTCCCTTAATGAACATCAGTGGTCTATGGAAGTAGATGGGGAAGAAGGGAAAGGATAGAAAGAGGAAGGATTCATAAACGACCTGTGAAGTGTTTTGTTTTTTTTTTAATCAGCTTATTTTTTTCCTAGAGAGATGTGGAATATTCCAATCACCCAGTTTTAAATTAGGAACAATATATTTAAGGTCCTCCAGCATGTTGAATGGACCCTCTTGGTAAACGGTAGGGAACATATGGAGACAAGAATTGTAACAGAAATTGGATGAACTATAGTCTTTTGGTGTGGTACATCCAGAACCATTTAAATACAGATAGGTCCCAATTAATGTGTTTGAACTATGTGAGATTGGGTTATAAAATGATAAATGGTCGCATGTAATTCAAGCTAACATTCAATTCACTTGCAAACTAGTTGAGAGTTCTAACAGTGGAGGTTGGATGTAATTTGCTGCTAGGTTCCATATTGTCAGTGAGTGTTCATTTATTTAAAAAATCCTTAACAAAATGGACAAAAGGAAGAACGCTTTGGATGGAAACACTACCAGTACGAAAACAAGAAGAGGCTTGTTAGAGCAAAATTAGAGCAAAAAAAAATGGATAAAATCATAACTGCATGAAAGTGGTCATAGTAACTCTAAAATACAAGATGTGCGAATGGCTAGATCTATGGTATGTAATACAATAAAACGAAATAAAAGAAAAAGGCAAAGTTGCATCAGCTCTCAATGGTTTGCCAATAACTACAGGGAATAGAAATGTCACAAGATAGAAACAGAGTGTGTTTTATAGCGGTATGGATTGAAAATTGCTATCCAAAAAGCTTTCCTCTTAGCAGAGCAGCTATTCAGACACAAACTACAGGTTTATTTAAGGCCTGGAGAAGCAAATAGAAATGAAATAGCTAGTGATGAAACTTTTGTTGCAAGTGTTTGTTGATTCAGTAGTTTTAAAAATCAGTTTAGTTGCATTATATTAAAATTATCTGAGAGGTGGCCAGTGCAGATGAGGACACAGAAGCTAAACATCCTAATGTTTTGAAGGAAATAATCAAAGAAGGTAGATACATTGATCAACAAAATTTTTAATGTGAGTGAAACATGCTTATTCCGGGAAAAGATGCCTTCCACAATTTGCATTTCTAAGAAGGAAAAAAATCAACCTGGATTTAGTATCTAAGATCACCTAACACTTTTTATTGGGAGGCTACCCAGAAGGTAGCAGGAAGATGTCTTAGTGGATGAGAGCCCAGCCTGGAATCAGGAAAATCTAAATTCAAATCCAGCCTCAGGATTACTAGCTGTGTGACCCTGGGCAAGTTACTTAACTGTGGCTTGGTTTCCTCAACTGTAAAATGAACTGGAGAAGGAAATAACAAACCACTCCAGAATCTTTGCCAAGAAAAGCCCTTGGACAGCATTGGTGTGATATGGGCCGTGGGGTCACCAAGAGTGGGACATGACTGGAAACAGCAAATCAGAAAGAGATTTTAAATTAAAACCAATGCTTACTTATCAGTTCCCAAATCCTCAAACTCTGGCAGGCTACAACCATCTATTGCTTCTAGTTCCTTGTTGGTCAGATAAGGAAGCAGGGGTAATTAAAGCTGTTTTCAAAAACTGATTTTCAAGTTATTTTAGCCAGATTATTAAAAAAACTATTGCAAGGACCAATGATACCACATTTAAAGCGCTGCTGATTTTAAAGAACACTCCAGGACATCCAACTACCCTTGGTGAGAATGTGAGCATGCAAATCTACCAATATGTATGCAGATTTAAAGAAAGAGAAGGCGGATCAGTCTATGCTTCTAAATTTTTTTTTTTAGTCAGTTGGGGTTAATTGACTTGCCAGGGTCACACAGCTAGTAAGCATCAAGTGTTGGTCTGAGGCCAATTTGAACTCCAATCCTCCTGACTTCAGGGCTAGTGCTCTATCTACTGCACCACTTAGCAGCCCCTCTAAAATATTTTAAAAGACAATGATGATGTTTTTATCATATTGTAGAGGCTTCTTTTTAGGTGTGATATTCAGTAATTTTAAAAATCTTGCTTTCTTAAATCACACCTTTTCCTTATAGCAAGTTTGAATCAGAAGTATTTTTTTATCCTTTCCTATTCTATTACATTAATAAACAGCTTAAAAACTTCTTTAAATTTTTTTTTCATTGCATCTATCATTGACTGGAACCAATTACCATATTTATGTAATTATATATTATTTGAATGGTTAAATTCAAATAATCTGACCATAGGATTCATTATTTGCCCTAATTAGAACCTAGTTGGTACATAAAACTACTCAAATTAATATAAAGTATCTTCAAACTTCATGTAAGTATTACGCCCAGTTAAAGGAGAAATACAGAAGACATTAGGGGAAGGTTAAAAAAAGCTAAGAAAAGAAAGTCACACACACGCTCAGAAATACTTTGTTTTTATGTAAGTTTTTATTGTTACATTCTGTTTTTACATCACCTTCATTTTCCAAGATATCCTCCCCATTCCCCACCACCATTCCCTTAACAAAGAATTAAAAAGAAGTAACAATTCAGCAAAACTAACCAACGTGTCAACCTAGTCTTAATGTTATCCTTGACTCTTCATCATCACCTCACATAACCAATCTGTTACTGTTTCTATTTTCACAGCTTTTCTACTAAGTCTCCTTAGGCCTGGACTTCTAAAATAACCTTCTAACTAGGCTTCCTGCCTTAAGTCTCTCCTGACTCCTGTCCATCCTCCCCTCAGGTGCTAAGATGATTTTTCTAAAGGTAGGTCTAACCATGTTACACTTTTCCTGTTCAGTAAGTTTCAGTGGCTCACTGTCACCACCAAAGTCAGATAAAAACTCCTCACCCCTTCTCTACCCTTCCAGCCTTCTTACCCCATATTCTTCTTCACACACTCTACCTTAAATGACCTGTTTGATGTTTCTCATACTCTATTTCCCATCTCAGTGTCTTGGCACCAGCTGTCTCTGATTCTTGAAATGATTTTCTTTCTCCCAGCTCCCCTACCTCCTCCTCTTAATTTTCCTGGCTTCCTTCAAGATTTAGCTCAAATTCTACCTTCTACAGGAAGCTTTTCCCACCTACCCACCTTCTTTCCAGTGCCTCCCTCTCTCAGATTACTGCCATCTAATCTGCTTTGTATATACATTTACCCCTTCCACATTGTGGTTTCGATATATCATGGGTCAGGACAAGAAGTTAAATGGGAATTTTAGGGGAGTTTTACAGAAGCTGAAAATGACATTCAGCCAGCAGACAACACAGAAAAAGTTTAGAAACTCAGAAATGCATAAAATGTATGTATAGTATAATGTCAACCCAAATTTTACAATAAGGTACTGTAAACCCTCCATAAAAGAAAAAGGAAAAATTCAGATTTCTTCTCTGTTATGAAGAGAGGGCCAAAAAATCATGCCCTCTAAGCCCCGTGAGGTAAAAGGGATAACTGTATCTTGCAAGTACCTAGATATTTGCATGTTGTCTACGCCATTAGAATATGTACTTCTTGAGAGAAAGGACCATTCAAGTTTTTTGTTTGTTGTTTTTATTTTTGTCTTTCTTCCTATCCCAGGCACTTAGCACAGTGCCTGGTATATAGCAACTAATTAACTAATGCTCTTTGACTGACAGGTTGGTATTTCATGTTCCACATTCATAAGTCTCCTACCCTCAGAAATAGAATTTTGGAGTAATACAGCCCATCCTATGGACTTTTGGGATGCTGCAACTGACTGTTTTGGCAACAGTAAGCATACATGGGGGTATCGAATCTTAATGCTTGCTCCATGAAACAATGAAATTTAGTTAGGGGCTGTATTCAATCTATAATGGACTATGGAGTTAAGCCATCTGTGACATACACATAGATTTGTTGGTTGTGAAAATTAAAAAGGACAAATTCAGTTCCTAAGGTACCGTGAACGATTTTTCCTAGAGTGCTATTTTATCTCCAATGATACAGATGTTCTATTGTCTTGAATCTAGAATTGCTGCCAGCAATGAAAAGGTTGAAAAAAAAGGTTAAGAATACAACTTGTCCTACTGTGATATGTAGTGTAGATACATTTAAGGCCTCATTGTAAAGGTATAAAGTAATTATGGACTTAAAACACCTTGGTTTTCTCAGTTTTCTTTAGAAATGTCATAATTTTGAGACATTTCTTGAGTAAGTTGGGATTAAACATATATAGGAACTGAAAGGCCTTGTTTTCATGGGCTCAATTTAAATGAGAAAAAGGAAAGGCTAGACAAACACAGGCGATAGGAACAGAACTTTTCCCCAGGATTACTTTGTTCTGATTTTTTGTGTGAGTACTGCTGACAACTTCATATGATCCTATTAGGAAAACATAATAGCTGCTTTTAAGTCACATTCTGATTCAAATTATGTAGAAATATAGGCAAGAATGCATTAGCACAGTTTTTGCAGAATTTTAAGAGAGTAGTAGGAATAAATCTTTTTTGTTGAAACAGCTGTATATTAGAATAGAATGATCAGATTGTTGGACTGTTACAAAATTTTCATTGGTCTATGAGTAATTGAGAGAATGATATAGAATGTTGTTATTTAATTTTTTTTTATAATTCAGGTGAATCATATAAACTCAAGTAAGGCTGACCAATTAAATAATAGTAATTTACTTTTGTCATAGAAATTCTCAGGTTATGGGAAGAGCTATATGAATTGATGCAGAGTGAAGTGAGCAGGGCTAGATCATTGTCCATAGTAGCAGCAGTATTGTCACGATGATCAGCGAAAGACTTAGCTACTCTAATCCACACAGTAATTCAAGACAATTCTGAAGGACTCATGATGAAAAATGCTATCCACTTCTAGAGAGAGAACTGATAAACTGAGTGCAAATCAAAGTATAATTTTTTCACTTTATTTTTCTTGCTTTTTTTTTCTTTTTGCAACATGCTAATATGGAAATGTTTTACATGATTTCACATGTGTAATTGGTATCATATTGCTTGCCTTCTTGATGTGTCAGCTAGGGACTAGAGGATGGCAGAATTGGGAATTCAAAATTTTAAAAAAGTGAATATTTAAATACTTAAAAAATAAATAATAGATTTGAAAAAAAATAATTCCCAGATTGTATACTCAATGTCTAGAAAAATTACCTTCTAAATATCACCAAACATAATCAATTCCCAATTTTGTTAGTAGATCTGAAATCATCCTGGTTGCCAAGAGTATCAGTGGCTTCCCTTTTGAAATAAGCTAAATTTAAATGATGCAGTTTAGGGGTTTAGGGATCCTAGGACCCCAAAATCACAACATGTAGGTCCTGTCTGAAAGAATTTGACCCAAGCCTTCTTTCAGCCAAAGACAAGGTTTCTTAGAACATCCATCATATTGGGCAGACTCTTAAGGAGTCTGAACGTGAGTAAGCAGTGGCTAGATTATAAGAATCCCAGCAGTGGCTAGATTTTAAGAATCTGAGCATCTTTAATGGAGACAAGATGGACCTTATATACAGAAAGCCTGTGGGAGGGATCTAGGAGTGGCCAAGTAGTTTGGGGTTATGGGAGGTTGGGGCCTAAGGAGATCTGAATGGGAAGGGAAATGGCCAGGGGCCATAGGGAGGTAAGACAATGGAGGGTGAGATTGGGTGTAGCCACAATGAAAGGCCAGTCGAGGGGATTATAGCCTTAGGGGAACGACAGAGATTTGACCACTTGGGAAAGTCCAAGGTTTTTCCTTTCTGGGGCCCAGATCCCAACCACATCATAAACATTTAAATCCTCTACTAAACTTGCATATTATTCATAAGTAGACTTTTAAGTTTTTTCAAAATTGCTATGTCAATAAATTCCATTACTTTATGCCATAGATCAGTAGCAGATATATTGATGTTATTATGTCTTTATCACAGTACGTCTCATAGCCCCTTGTTGCTAGAGAAGCACCAGCCAGGGAGTGTTTCGGAGCTATTGGAGTGATTCTGACCAGGGGTTGACCAAAAGTGCCTTTGTGAAAATAGCACTCATCTTTGGAACTGCACTTGGACTGGGGATGGGTGATGTGGAGTCGGTCTGTTAGAGGGGAGTGACCAGTATTATTACCCCTGGGAACCACTTAGAAAAGTCATGTCCCAAGAATATTCATTCACAGAGAAAACAAGTTAAAGATATAATAGGCTGACTATTTAAGTCTGGACAGGCTGCACTAAAAGGCCATTGCTGGATCCTTGGGAGTACAGTATGCACTCATCTTCCACCAAATTGGATAGGAAACTGCTACATAGGTCTTGTTCACCCCAAGTTCTTCTTCTGCCTGGGAGAGTGGGCGGGGATCTGGGAATTCGATTATATGATGATTTGGACAGACAGAAGCAGAGTCTAGACACCTCATTAACCAGTAACGGGGATGCCAATGGCTGGGATGACACTTGGCCCCCCGAGAGTATAATCCAGACATGTGGTCCAGCTACTTGGGCACAGGATGGAAGTTGGGAGCACAGACTCCCATCTCTATCCTTAATAGATTAATTAGGTTACAGGTAGTAGTGGAAATTATCACTAACCAAACAGCCCGAGCCATAGACCTCCTTGTGGACCAGGCCACCCAAACTTGGGAAGCTGTACTTCAGCATAGATTAGTCTTAGATTACTTATTGGCTGAAGAAGGAGGGTCATGGTGGGAACAAGCCTTCTGGTTTTTCTTAATTGCCATTTGTGGAGTGATTTTACTCCCCGTCTGTCTCCCTTGTATAATACAGCTTATTACACAGGGTGGTCCAAGATTCCCTGTCTAAAATGATCAGAATAGAAGGGAAAGGTGAAGTGAGATTAATGGTCTTAAAATCCCAAGGATGGGTACCCATTGTCCAAGATGACGGCAGGAACCTGATGGAGGCAGTGAGGAACAGTTAGTAGAAGAGGTTTTTCAGGAATGGTGTGAGGAGACTTCAAAGAAGTAGAAAACAAGAGGGGGGATTGTGAGGGATGAAATGCCTGGAACAGTGAAGTTTCCCCAGGGATTAAATATGAGCTATTAAATCTTGTGTATTTTGGAATAGCATGTGCCGTACCCCAACCTGCAAGAGAGAACATTGTGCAAACTTTGCAAACATTGAAACTGCTCACCCTTGCAAGGCTAACATTTGCAAAAACAGCTAATCTTGCAAAATGGCCTTGAAACCATCCAGATCCTGTTTTTGAGCTCAGAGCAAACAGCTATTAAAAGACTTCCCACCTTTTCTTGTCTCTAGGCAAACTTGTGTAACCACCTTTGTTCTTTGTTGCTGGGGAAGATTTCCTCAAATAGATTGTGCACCCTGAAGCCCAGGCATTGGGATAAGGGGTTAGTGAGGAGGAGCTTGAGTTAGGGTATAAGAAGACTTGCTTTCTGTAACCAATTTGCACTCCCTGGCCGGGGCTTCTCTAGCAATGAGAGGCATGCCCTTTCTCATGAGAAAGTAATAAAACTCTTTTCTGCTTGTCAAAAGCTCAGGCTCTGAATATTTTATTTGAGTAGTGGTTTCTGTCCCACACATTACCATATATAAAGTACTGTATTTATTTGTTTATATGGCCCAGGACAGCCATCCTTCTTTCCTCTTTTGGCTCTGCTTCTGACTCTCTGGATTTTACTACCATGGAGTTTCCCTCAGGGCCTCTGCCCTCTTCATCTGCCCCAGCAACCTTCTTCTCCCACTAGTTAGTTCTACAAAAGCCTTCATTTTGAGGCTAGGCCTAAGACAACCATTCTTCTTTCCTCTCCCAACTCTACTTTTTGACTCTTCAGACTTAACCATCATTTCCCTTCTCCCTACTTTCAGGCTCCCTTTTATGTGTTCTTTCTGCATTAAAATGTAAGGTCTTTCTGTCTTTCTGTATTTGTATTCCTTCATAAATACTTGTTAACTTGTAGACAGTATACAGCCTCAGAGCAAAGAATATGCATATTAGCATTAGCATAAGAATGTCTACATTATTCTCCATTTTGTGATCCTTTCCCACTCCCTTTACTTTGTATACAACACAGATATGTTGCTATTATTACTGTCTTCTGTACATATTGTTATTTTGGTTCTCCTTTCTCCATTGTACAACACTTCAGGTCTTCCCATGTTTCTCTGGATCAATGAAGACAGAATGAATCCTACTTAAAAGAATGTAAGCTATTTGATGATAAGGACTGTCTTTTTGCTTATATTTGGATCATCAGCACTTAGCACAATGCTTGGCACATGATAATTGCTTAATAAATTCTGGTTAACTTATTAACTTACATCTTAAGGATAATTGCTGGATAGGGGCAGCTAGGTGGTTCAGTGGATAGAGCTCTGGCCTTGGAGTCAAAAGGACCTGAGCTCAAATCCAGCCTCAGATACTTGACACGTACTACCTGTGTAACCCTGGGCAAGTCACTTAACCCTGATTGCCTTACCAAAAAGCGGGGGGGGGGGGGGGGGGGGAATTACTGGTATGTAATCTTGTCAGGACTGTTACTTTTTGGATTAAAACAGCCCCCAAGAATTTTTATTTGTTGCAATATTTCTTCAGGAATTATCATCATGATTTCTTTTATCTTGTACACCAATTACATACCACTGCTGTTTATATTTTCTTTCCTGTTTAGGTGTTGTTTTCCTGATTGGACTATTAACAAGATTGAGAACTGGAAAGATCTAGTCCAGTGCCTTCGTTTTACGGGGGAGGAATCTGAAACCCAGAACATGGAAGCCATTGGACCAATGTCACACTGGAAATAAGTAGCATCACTAACATTTGAACCCAGCTTCTCTGACTTCAGTTCCATCACTCCCATTGTTCCAATGAAATGGAAAGCATCTTTTAATGTAATAGGTTTGGGTGGGATTGAACCCCTTTCTTTCTACAATTATAGTTCATTATCAGCTCTATATTAGTACTTTTTACTCATAACAATTTTTGATGGTAATAGACAGCTAGGTAGGACAATGAAGAGAGTGCTAGACTTGATGTCAAGAAGGCCTGAATTCAAATCTTGCCTCTGTTATTTACTAGCTAAGTGATACTTGATAAGTTACTTAACCTCACAGCCTCAGTTTCCTTACCTACACAATGGGGATAATAATAGCACCTACTTCATAGGGTAGGAGGGAGGATCAACTGAGGCAATCTATACAAAGCTTTGTAAACCTTGACATGCCATATAAATGTTAGTGCTTTGCTATTACTCCTGTTAGTAATTTAAATTTAAAATTTATTTAAGAGTACAACCGTGTAAGAATTAAATTGAATAACCACAAGGTAATTATAAAAGAATAAAATCCAAATAAAACTCAACAAAAAAAAAGAATTTAAATCTGCACATCTCACTGAAAACTCAACAGTCTTCTGAGGAATTGCCTTCTTTTGTTAAAGTAATACTGACTGCTCTGACCCCCACGGCTGGAAGGCCAGGCATATTCCATTTCACCCCACCCCCAGGGCTCTCTGGTACTCTTAAGGAGGACTGTGGAGGTTTCTAGGCTGTTTGCCAGTGGTTCCAGCACTGAATGATGGTGTTCCTTCAAGTCTTAGAGGTGGAGTCCCCTGTACTCCGGTTTCATTTAACCACTAACAGTGAGGTTAGCTTTTATAAAAGAATATTTACTTTAAACATATATTAAGAAACTTACAAACCTACTATAGGACACATGGGAGGCATAATTTCCCTCTATCCCCTAAACCTCCAAACCACTTCTGTCTCAAGGGGAAGGGGATTAGGTTCACAGCTTAGCTCAGTGCCTATAAAGCACAGTCCCAAGTTCTAAATCCAAACCCTACTTCCTCTTGGGCTTGAGTCCCCAGTACCCTGGCTTCTCAGAGCTTCCCTGCTAGGCTGGCTGGCTACAACATCCCACTGGAACCCTGGCTCTGAGGTCACCATGGCTTGATTTTGGTCTAGTGGGGATTACCACCTGCACTTGAAAATGAGAAGGATAAATGAAACTAAACAGATACAAAGTCCTAGGCCATGAGGCCTAAAAAGACCTAAGGGGTAAGGTATCTTCCCTTCCTGGATCAATTCATGGCATCCATACTGTGAGTGAATTATGTGTCTCTTCACACTCAGTAAGCATCTAGAAGGAGCTGCCCCACCATTCTAGAGAGTAATTTGGAACTATGCTCAAGGGCTATGAAAGTGTGCATACCCTTTGATCCAGCAATAGTACTTCTCGGGCCGTGTCCCAGAGAGATCATACAAATAGGAAAAGGACACACACTGAGAGGATGCCCATCAATTGGGAAATGGCTGAACAAGTTGTGATATAGGAATGTAATGGAATACTATTGTGCTGTAAGAAATGATGAGCAGGCAGACTTCAGAAAAACCTGGAAAGGCTTGTATGGACTGATGCTGAGTGAAGTGAGCAGGAGAACGTTGTACACAGTAACAGCCACGTTGTGCAATGACTAATTTTGATAGACTTAGCTCTTCTCAGTAACGCAAGGATCTAAGACATCTCCAAAGGCCTCAGGATGGAAAATGCTATCCACAAAGAAGAAAGAACTGTGGAGTTTGAATGCAGATTGAAGCATACTATTTGCGATTTTTTTTTCTTCTGTTGTGTTTTGTTTCCTCTTTCTAGTGGTTCCTGCTATTGGTTCTAATTCTTACTACAACATCACTAATGTAAAAATATGTTTAATAGGAATATGTATGTATAGCCTGTATCAGATTGCTTGCTGTCTTGGGGAGGGAGGGTGAGAAAAATTTAAAACTCAAAAGCTTATGGAAGTGATTGTTGATAACTCAAAATAAATTAAAGATTTAAAAAAGAAAAGAAAAAGCTGCCCCAGTCTGGCAGTTTTAACAATGCATCCAATTAAAGGAGTTTACTCCCTTCCAGTGGTAGTGGAACCCAAAGAAGCAGGGTCTTCCATGTTACGTGAATTGGGCCTACTCCAAGACCCCATTAGACTGTCCTGTGAGATGTAGGAATCTATGAAACTATTTAATTCAACAATCATTTTTAAGTGCTTACTGTGTACAAGTCACTATTCTAGTCATGAGAGACAGAAAGATTTAAAAAAAAAAAAGACTTACTTGCCCTCAGTAAACTTATATTGTATTAGAGAAGATAGGACCCTACACAGATAAATACAAGTTGTCCATTTTTGGCTAATAGCTTTTGTTTTAAGCTATTTAGGCTTTAATAAATGGCTTTAAACAACACCAAGACTTTGGGGATACCTTGTATTACAAACTAGTATAATGAAAGCAAAAAGAGATAGCCTGGCAAAGAACTCTGAAAAATTTTGGGGTGGGGAAAGGATCTTCAGAGAAGGCTTCCTCTAGAAGGTGGTTTTTTGTCTTGACCTAAGTCTTTAAGAAAGGCAAGGATTCTGAAAAATGGAGATGATAAGGAAATTGATTCCAGGAATTTATTCTTGCACAGATGTATAAAGATGTGTAAAGGTGGGAAACAGATTGTCAAGCACAGGGAATAGCTAGTAGTTCACTTGAGCTGAAATGTAGAATGTGTGAATGGGGAGTACTGTGAAATGAAGACAAAAGCATGGTAGGCCTTAAATCCCAAGATAAGATTATATTTTATCCTACCTGCTATCGGGAGCCACAGAAAGATTCTGAGCAGTAGAGTCGGACTTGAACTTAAAGACAATTATTTTTGCAGCTATGTGAAGGTTAGATATGAGAAGCGAGGGAGTGAGGGCAGGGAGACCAGTGAGGAAGGTGTTACAGTAATCCATGCAAGAGATGGTGATAGTGGTGGTGTGAATAGAGAAAAGGGGGTGATACTAGAGATGCTGTAGAGTAACAGGATTTGGAAAGTGATTGAGTGTGACAGGGTGAGGAAAAGCAAAGACTACTTAGTAACAAAGGACAGAGAGAATATCTGTGCTATCAATAAAAGTAGAGGTGTTGAGAAGGGAGAGTTTAGAGAGAAATAGGTAAGTTTGGTTTTGAACCAGCAGATTGCCCCCTCTATCATCCCCACTCTCACTTATCTTCAATATTTTCCTGTCCACTGGCTACTTCCTACTGTCTGCGATTATGCCCATGTCTCACCTATCCTCAAAAAAAAACCCTGGCTTGATCCTTCCCTACTGTCATCCCATATCTCTTCTGCTATTTATGGCAAAGGATCTCCTTCTTGAGATGGTCATCCACACAAAGAACTGGAAATTAAAGGGAGGCCCATCGATTGGGAATGGCTGAACAAGTTGTGGTATATGAATATATTGGAACAATTTGTTGTAAGAAATGAAGAGTGGGCAGATTTCGGAGAAATCTAGAAAGACAAGAACTGGTGCAAAATAAAGCAAGCAGAACCAGGAGAACATTGTACAATGACCAACTATGAATGACTTAGCTATTCCTAGCAATACAATGATCCAAGACAATTCCAAATGATTCATGATGAAAAATGCTATCTGCATCCAGAGAAAGAACTGGTGGAGTCTGAATGCAGATCAAAGCATACTATCTTCAGTTTCTCTCTTTTTTTTAATGTTTTTTTTTCTTTTAGTCTGCTTCTTCTTTCACAACGTGACTAATATGTAAATAAGTTTTACATGATTGCACATATATATATGTATAATCTATATCAAATTGCTTGCCATCTTAGGGAGGTGGGGAAGTGAGGAAGAAAGGGAGAAAAATTGGAACTCAAAAAATCTTAAATTAATGTTAAAAATTGTCTTTACATGTAATTGGAAAAATAAAATACTAATTTAAAAAAATCACCCACAGTAGTTCTCTCTTCTGTCTTCTCACTCTCTTAACTCTTTGTCATCTGGCTTTTGAACTCAGCATTCAGCCAAACAGCTCTTTCCAAAATGAACAATTATCTCTTAATTGTCAAATACAATGGACTTTTCTCAAACCTCCTCCTTCTTGACTTCTCTGTGGCCTGTGACGCAGTCAATCACCCCCTTCTCTTTGACACGGTCTTCTCTTTAGGTTTTCAGGAGACCTCTCTCTCCTGCTTCTACTTATCTGGCCACTCCTTCTCAGGCTCCTTTTCTGCATCTTTCTCCAGGTCATGCTCACTAACCATAGGTGTCCCACACAGTTTCAGGCTGGGCCCTCTTCTCTTTTCTCCGTACTACTTCTCTTGGTGACCTCATCGGCTCCTAGGGACTTAGTTAGCATCTCTATTTTGACAATTCTCAAATTTATTTAATCATCCCTAATCTCTCTGCTGACCTTCAGTCTCACATCTCCAACTGCCTTTCAGACAACTTGAATTGGATGTCCAGTAGACATATAAATTCAATATATCCAAAAGGAACTCTTTATCTTTTCCCCAGAACTCTTCTCCCATTACAAACTTCTTTAGTACTCTTGAGGGCACCACCATTCTCCCGGTCCCTCAGACTCACGACCTAGGTGTCATTCTGGATTTCTCACTGCTGTCATCCCCATACCCATTCTGTTGCCAAGGCCTGTCAGTTTCCCCTTTGCAATGTTCCTCCCTCTCTCCTCTGGTACTGCCAGAATGCAGACCCTCATCACCTCACACCGTGATTATTGCAATAGCCTACTGGTGAGTCTGCCTCCCTCAAGTCTCTCCCATCTCCAACCCAACCTCCATTTAGCCACTAAAGTGATTTTCCTAAAACTCAGGTCCAATCATGTCACCTCCTCCCTACTCAGTAAACTTCCTATTGTTTCCAGGGTCAAATACAAAAGATCCCATGTTTGGCATTCAAAGCCTTTCATAACCTATTCCCCCAGTATCTTTCTAGTCTTCTTACACCTTACTCCCTGACACATACTCTTGGGTCCAGTGTCACTGGCCTCCTGGCTTTTCCATGAACAAGACACTCCATCTTTTGTCTCCAAGTGTTCTCTCTTGCTGTCCTCCATGCCTGGAATGTCCTCACCTGCTCTGACTACTGACCTCAATGGCTTCCTTTAAGTCCCAACTAACATCTCACCTTTAATTCCAGCTTGTCCTCTGTTATTTCCTATTTTCCCTATCTGTAGCTTACCTCTTTTATAGTTGTTTGCGTGTTGCCTCCACCATTAGATTATAAACTCCTTGAGAGCAGGAACTGTCTTTTACCTCATTTTGTATCTCCAATGCTTAGCACAGTGCCTGGCACATAGTAGATATTTAATAAATGTTCGGTGATTAGAAAAACTTCTCCATTCTTTTTTTTTTTTTTGGTGAGCCAATTGGGGTTAAGTGACTTGCCCAGTATCACACAGCCAGTAAGTATCAAGTGTCTAAGGACAGATTTGAACTCAGGTCCTCCTGACTCCAAAGCTGGAGTTCTATCCACTGTGCCACCTAGCTGCCCTAACTTCTCTATTCTCAAATGGTCGTCCCAGAAAGCTTAATTGATATATGCTATCTACCACTAAACATCCTCATGGAGCTTGAAGGAAAAAGACATAGAATCTCCAAAGGAAGATTTTATATGTGATTATATTTCAGGTCTATGTAATTGTATTTCTATAAATTATTATTGAGAGTAAAAGTTTATCATCCCCATTGTGAGGTCATGAAAATGAAAAATGGAAAAGCCGTTTAATATTTCAGGTAGAAATTGCTGGGTAAAAATGACTTTTTGAAAAAAATGTTTGAAATAACAGTAGCTATCCGCATTATTTAAAACAGCAGATTTTTAGCTCCTTGAGAGCAAGGACTGTCTTTTACTCTTTTTGAATCCCTTGTTCTTAGTACAATGGAACATTTTGTTTAGTTTGTCATTTTCAGTCATATTTGATTTTTTTTGTGACCTCTTTTGGGAGTTTTCTTGGCAAAGATACTGGAGTGGTTTGCCATTTCCTTCTCCAGCTCATTTTACAGACAAGGAAACTGAGGCAAACAGGGTGAAGTGACTTGCCTCGGGTCACACAAGTAGTGAGTATATAAGGCCAGATTTGAACTCGGATCTTCCTGACTTCAGGCCAGGCAGTCTATCCACAATGCTACCTAGCTGCCCCAACAGTGGCACATAGTAGATGCTTAGTAAGTTTATTCCAGTAGAGGTAGAAGAAGAGAAATAGTAGTACTTTTAAGATTGAGCTTAAATATTTGTGCTGTATTGTATTGTGCTTTTTGACCCCCAGTTCTAATTTGTTGAGATAATATGTTAAAGATAAGGCAGAGAGTGGGAAATTAATATACTCATAATTAGGGAACTTTTGTCTGGAAAATTCCCTTGAAATATTATGAAACAAAACCAAATGGCCC